GAGGAGGCCCCGAGGAAGACCCAGGACACGCTGGAGGGACTATGTCTCTCGGCTGGCCTGGGAACGCCTTGGAGTTCCCCCGGAGGAGTTGGAAGAAGTGGCTCGGGAGAGGGAGGTCTGGGCCTCCCTTCTGAAGCTGCTGCCCCCGCGACCCGACCCCGGATAGGAGGAAGAAAATGGATGGATGGATGGATGGATGGATGGATGGATGGATGGATGGATGGATGGATGGATGGATGGAAGAACGTTTTAAATGCTACATGAATCATAATTAGGAACAGATAATTTAAATCTACATAAGATTAATTATTACATAATATTTCTTTAATAATATAATGCCCATTTTTAAAAAAATCTCATTTTGATTTTTAGCCACCGTGTGTAACTTTGACCCCACCATCCTAACATTTCAGTGTATCAATGAAACAAAATAATAAAGATTTTTAGTTTTACAATGAAACAAACAACATTTTATAGTTATTATTTACATAATAAGTTAGTACCGTCGTAATCTACTTTACAAGCTTCTGGGTCAACAAACACTTTTATTTTGAAAAACCGAACCGGATGTTGTCTTTGTTAGCCTGCTGTTGTCCACTAGCCGGATTTTGCTAAGGTTTGTAGACTTGGACGCGTTAGCAGTAAAAGTAGCCCAGGTTTTCTGTGGTTCTGGTAATAATTTGTAAACAGGACCAGGATAAAGGACTGGGGTTCTGGAACCAGTAAGTGGGTTTGGACCGAACCGGTCTCAGGCAGGGTTTCTCCAGTTAACCAGCCAGGAAACATTCCTCCATTTTTCTTCATTTCCCTGAGTTTGTGTCGGTGGTTCTTCATTTTTACACTTTGGAAGAGTTTTTGGAGGTTTTATGGTAAGTTTTATTTAAAATGAACTCTAGAGAATGAGTTTAATTTAGTGTAAAAGTGTAAAACGTCCCTTTAACAAACTGGGTCAGAGCTAAAAACCGGACTCAAGGTTTTAATACAACTTTAGGAAACCTTATTAAAAAAACCTTATAAAAGTCACATTTGTGACCTGTAAAAACAAAACACGGAGTTTGAGCAGAGAAATCAGCTGGTCACCATTTAAACAGCCGGAAATGACAGATTAGATTAAAAGTTTCATATCCTGTCAGATTACACAGTTTTTAGTTTTAACATGTAGAAATAATTAAGATGAGTGTTTTCTACTGAAGAAACAAACTGTGTAAACTGAAAAGTAGTGAACACTGGCTAAAAGCAGCAGAAAAACATAGAGCCAGTGTTGTATAAAGTACCACACAGTGTTGTATGAAGTACCACACAGTGTTGTATGAAGTACCACACAGTGTTGTATGAAGTACTACACAGTGATACGTGAGTAAAAGTACAAGTATCTTACCAAAAAGTTACTTTGGTAAAGGTTAAAGTCTCCTTTAGGAGTATAACTTGAGTAAAAGTGTTAAAGTATGTGATATTTGTTGTAGTTAAGTATTAAAAGTGAAAGTACTGATTTAAAATGAGCAGTTAGATTTTCTGTAAGGACATTTATTAGGAGGTGACCTCCCCAAAATGCAAAAACTGTCCATCTTACCAAGTTTTAAAATC